ATTTTTATTTACCAACATATATATATATATATGTGTATATATATGTATATATGTGTGTATGTGTATATGTGTGTGTATGTGTATGTATACATACCCAAATAATATACTCTGGATTATTATAAAAGAAATTAAAAATAAATATAAAATTTGATCATAAGTGCACGATTAACCGAATCGAGTCTACATCGAATGTAATTGCCTAATCTGCGGCAGACCTTAATGATCACACGACGAGATACATGAAACAACAAAGGGTTCACCTTGGAAACCGGCGGAATCTCCGGCCTATTCTGTCACTAGAGAAAAAAGAAAAACAACACTTCTGATATACTCGTCGCAAAATTCTCTTCCTTCTTCACCAAAAATCTCCTTTTAAGACAATCTGTCAAGAGAGCTTCCCTCACTTCTCATTGGAGTAGACATCTCTCAGTTCGTGGTCTGTACCCAATCACGATGGAATAACTCATGGTATAGTTTATATTCAATCTGCAATTGTTTCGACCTGTGAAGGTCGCACAGACAATCGCTAATTTCGTGAGTCTCTTTATACATGTTATTGAATATCTGCTAACAGATTTAAAGGTTGTTCTCAATAGTACAAAACACTAATTACATATAATATAACTACCCACAATACTGCTTGTCTGCTGTCAAATTTGTGTGATGGGTTGCTAAAATAACATACGTTCCTCTCTCCTGGGAATGAAATGCCAAAACTCTTCTCGTGAGGAAAAAAAAAATTACAATCCCTCCTTTCCCCTCTCTTGATATATAAGAGTATGAAATTGAAATTACAATACAAATGCTTCTGAAAAATGATTTATAGTTATAAAATATTTTAAACAATGCTTTTTAACGCAAACATCCAGTTATTTAAAATTCTTAATTAATGAAGAAAGATATAAAATTTAAATCACAACCAGAAATCAAAAATGTTTCCAATAGAAATTTATCACTCCACCAGAAATAAAAAATTATTTTTTCTCCAAAAACTGAGAAAATATTTACATTTACCGTATTTTTCAATAAATTATTTTATTTTTAAACAAAATAGGAATTTAAAACGAACTGAATAAATTCGTGGAATAATTAAAAGATAAACCCTTTTTAAAGTAAATATACTAAGTATAAATAATGAGTATACTATGTAAATATACGCATCATTTCATCAGAAATCAATTTTGGGTTACAATGGATGTTCAAACAAAATTTTTCTGAATACATTTTTAATTGAATCCCTTTCTATTCATCGTATGAATAAAAGAGGAAATAAAATTTAAATAAAAAAAAAGACTGCCGTATTAAAACATATTTTTTTTTACAGAAGCAAACACTAAGAATTCATACTCTAATTAGCACAAAAAATTCAAGCGAAGCTTTATTAAAAAAGATCTGCAAATGGATATTCTAATAAAAGAAGCAAATAGTTAAAAAGAAAATCAAATACAATGCCAAGTGTCGTTGTATGAATATACTTTTGGAGATTTTCAGACATCTTAAAATTTCAAGCAGCCACTAAATTTTTCTTGCAAATTCTACTTCAGAGGATGCGTCACATTTTAATTTCTAAATCACTTCATAAGAATAATTCGTGTTTACAAAATATAAAAATTGTTTAAAATTTTGTAGCGAAAATATATAAATAACTCATAATTCAATTATTTTAATAATATAATTATTTGTATTAAATTCTTTATTTAAATTTATCGGAAAGGAAAAAAGTTGTTGTTTTGTAATAATAGGTCTAGTACATTGTACTAAAAAGATGTTATGCATGTTAAAAGTATCATTGATGGAAAGTTATAGAATAGGGTTGAACATTTTCTTGAAGAATTTGACTGCATTGGCGAGTTCTACATACAAGCAAATGTCAAGGAAGCTTCTAGAAACTAATAGAAAGGGTTGAAGGTAAGTTATTAAGTGAGAATTTTATTGATGATTTTTATTATGAACTTGACTAAATTGGAGTTTTATGATGAATTTGACTACATTGGAGTTTTATGATGAATTTGACTACGTTGGAGTTTTATGATGAATTTGACTACACTTGAGTTTTATCATGAATTTGATTACATTGTTGAGGACTTCTACAAACAAATGTAAAAGAAGTTTCTAGAAACTAATAGAAATAGTTGAAAGTAAGTTACAGAATAGGATTGACGATTTTTATGATGAATTTGACTGTATTGGCGAGGACTTCTACACACAAATGTAAAGGAAGCTTCTAAAAACAAATAGAAATTGTTGAAGGAAGTTAGAGAATAGGGTTCAGGATTTTTATGAATTTGATGAAATGTTATGAATTTTGATAAAATGTTATGAATTTTGATAAAATGTTATGAATTTTGATGAAGTGTTGAAAGTTTCATGAAATATGATGAGATATTATTTGACAACATTGGCAAAGTCTTCTACAAACAAATGTAAAGGAAGCTTCTAGAAACAAACAGAAAGAGATGATGGAAAGTTAGGGAATATGACTGAGGATTTTTATGATGAATTTAACTACACTTGTGAAGACTTCTACAAGCAAATGTAAAAGGTGCTTCTAAAAATAAATAGAAATAGTTGATGGGAAGTTAGAGAATAGGGTTGGGGATCTTTATGAAGAATTTGACTATATTGGCGAGAACTTTCTACAAACAAATTTAAACGGAGCTTCTAGAAACGGTTAAAGGAAAAGTTAGAGAATATGGCTAAAGATTTTTATGATGCATTTGACTACATTGGTGAAGACTTCTACAAATAAATTAAAGCAAGCATCAAGAAACAAATAGAAATGGTTGATTGAAAGTTAGAGAATATGATTGAGGATTTTTATTATGAATTTGACTACATTTATGATAACTTCTACAAACAAATATAAAGTAAGCTACGAGAAACAAATAGAAACTTTGAACACCATTTTAAAAGTCCGCCATGGGATATTTCATCAAATATTTAATTGCAGGATTCAATAGGTTATTGTGAATTATTCAAAAAAATATTTAAACGTAATTTATTATCGGAATTGCTAATTAGGAGAGGGGTTTACTTATCAAGTATTTCTTTGCGTAAATTAGAAAACTGCTATATATTTTTGAACCAACCTGAAATTTAGAGCTATTATAATTTTATAACTATTGCATGATAGTAAGTTTCATTAAAATTTCCCCTTTAAATGAAACATTGATAAAATTGATCCTTAAATAATTAATTTTGCTATGCAAACCAAAACTTTTAACAGTATAATAATACAATGAATTTTGCTATGTCAGAGTTAAGCCTTGTAATTGAACTACCTTGTCATTTAATTAATTTATCTATTTTATGAACACAGAATCCTTAAACTGAAATTTTAATTCACTGTTAGTGTTTACATTTTTCTTAATTTTTAGCCACCTTTTTATTTTAAAAAAAAAATCAATTTTCTTCTATGAATAATTTTTTTAATTATTTTTTTTTTAATTTTTGATTATAAATTTTATCTATTCTAGCCATGTTTCTGATCGCAAAAAACTTCAAGCTGATCAGAATTTTCTTTTTTTTTTTGCCATGCAATGTTTGTGTAAATGTTATCACGAGGGTAAAAGTGGAAAATTTTAGAAAATTTTGTAAGAAAAATAGCATGCCTTCAAAATAATTGGGGAATATATTTGAGATTAAAGTTAATTGTAAATTTGAGTAAAATTTTAGAAGTTGTATAGGTAGGTTCAGATTGTATAACTGCTAGTTTATTAACTATTTTTCTTCTAAAAAAGTGTTTTTGTCCTTTGAATCTAATTAAACAGAATTTATGTGTATTTAGGAGCAGAAATTTACTCCGATTTAGATACATCTATCATGTAATCTTCGATAGTACACCTATATAGGACCTTTGACGGATATATTCCCTTAAACCAAACCCAAACTATCCAATGTGATGGGATTAAGGGGGCTTAAATGGAGGCTCTAAAAATGAAGTTCAGCTATAATTTTAGCTAGATTTTGTAATGAAATTTGGTAATTTTGTATAAGTTTTATCCCACTAGGTCCATTGTTTATTGTTGAAAGACGCCGCATGGTTATTTAATGTTGTTGGTACGATTATGCCATACGTTGATGCTGTTAGGACATTTATAAACTGTGTGACATGAAACTAAATTAAATTTCAAAAATTTTATTAAAAAATAGTGTACGAGAAATATTTTCATAAGAAAATTATTGCTCATTAGTTGATATTATAAGAAAATTCACAAAATGCATTCTGATTAACATTAAAAGATAACATCATTAAAATAAGATATTTTTAAAAGAAGGAATTTATGCGAATAATTTGTAATGTAACCCTGCATTCTTCTACCCAACAGCCCTCCCCCCCTGTGGAGTTCAGGAGAAATGGTCAGTAGACCTCGAGACTCTCATCCGAGAGAAACTTGCGCTAGTGCTGAGAAATGTTTATTTTATACTTTCTCATCCCGAGAGGAAATATACTTAACGCAAACCTGCGCATTAGTCGACCTACAGACTTTCACCCAGAGAAGAATAATTATTATTTTATTTAAAAAAATATTTTTCTCATAAATATTTTTATAAAGAATCTTTACAGTATAAGAATCACTCTATAACTGATCTATTATTGAAGTTCAATATATTCAATATACATATAAAATAATAAGTTTTTCCAGCTAATAAACTTTACTACTTAACGAAGAAATTGTGTATCCTTAACACATTTGTTTCTTTAAAACATGTTTGTTTGTTGTTTCTTATCCCACTTGGCTGGCCAAGCCCACGAGCCCATACGTACTCATGATTGAAGGGGAAGGAAGCAGCTTCTGTTGTGATGGAGCACCCGTAGGTAGAAGCCTGACTTTTGCTCCGTGACGCTCTTACAGTCATAGGAGACCGGGACCAACGGCTTAAAGTGGATTCCGAACCACTACAAATATCCATGGCACCGCCGGGATTCGAACCCGAAACCTGTGGCACCTAGCGCCAGAGCGCTAGACACTCGGCCCCACTCAGGTCCCAAATTTGCCAACGGCACGCGGTGTTCCCAGGTGGTCACCCACCCAAGTACTGACCGCGCCCAATGATGCTTGACTTCGGTGATCTAACGAGAACCGGTATAATCAGCATGGTACGGCCGTTGGCTCTTTAAAACATTCATTCTATAAATTAAGTATTTCGCTTCCTCCAACACACTGGCAGCAGCGCCTCTCACCTGGAGTGGAAGTATATTTCGCGCAATCTGAGAATAACCGAGTTTCGGGTTTTCGGCTTAGAAGTGGAGTCCTTCCACGACTCAATAATTATCTGTGTTACATATTGTATGTCTCTAATTGTATGCATGTGGTATTTGTGCATGTGTGTAATTAAAGCTGTGAGTTCGCCAACCTGTGCCTCAAGTATTTCAAACCTACCACACCCATTTAAAATCTGATTTCCAGTACCCACAACACTACAATAATTTTTTCAGTTGATTCTACTATATTTAATAAAGGTATAGCAATTCCATGTTTTGAGATTAAACTTCATTTATATATTTTTTCATTTAAATAATAAGTGGAATAAAATAATATTATTTAATAATAAATATGATTATTTCATAAAAGATAAATCATTTTACATCTTGGGAAAATACGAAATCGTTAGTATCATATGATCTTAAAGCGGATTAAACTATTTATCTCAAAGAACGCTTACGGAGAATCAAATTTTGCAACAATTTATACTAGTCATTAAAATTTATTTTATCAAATTTCAAATGAAATAAATCAATTTGATTAGCCCATAAAATTACAGATTATTTACAGATTAATAGATAATTTTTGAATGGCTTTGACAGAAATTATAAGAGATTCAATCATCAACTTTAACCTAGTCAAGTCATAAAATTTATCGGATCTTATCTCTTCTTTTACAGTTATTTATTTATTTTTTAACTATCTGTATTTTCGTTATCCGTTCTGAATAGGAATAAAACCCTGTTTATAGCTAATACGCTTTTGTAACATTTAAAAAAGTTTCGCAATCTGCAGAAATTTGAAAAATGGGAAGCATTTTTTTTTTTAATTTAATCACATTCAATCTGACGCTTGGTGCCACAGGTTTCGGGTTCGAGTCCCAGCGGTGCCATGGATGTTTGTAGTGGTTCGGAATTCCCTTTAAACCATAGCTCTTGGCCTAATATGGCTGTAAAGCTTTGGGTGTAGTGCTGATAACCCTACTCCGTAAAAAGAAAACATCTCATGTCTAAAAATCTGCCATCAGGCAGACAGCCTTGGCCCACCAAGGGGCTGTTGCGCCACTGATGATGATGATGATGATGAATCATATTATTTATTCGCATTTTGCACCTCTCCAACATTACATCTGCAAAAATGATTCAATTTGATATAGAATATACAAACTTATTCACTGAAATTATCATGTATTGATACAAAAATTGCGTAATTTAGAAATGACAGGAGGCTTCATTTCATATTCCCTTCATTTTTTTCATTTCATATTAAATTTCCTAAATTTTTTTTAAAAAAATTTCTAAAAATTTTAATTTTTTCCTAATGGAAATAATTTCTTCAATGGCTTACTTTTAAAAAATGAGCTATACTATTTTTCCCATTTGTTGATCATTTTTTGTTAACAAGTACTCTTTGGGAAAGCTAAATTTAGGAAAGCTAACTTCCTAGTTAATGCTAAGAGGGAATCTGAAATTGGAAAAGTTATAATTCAAAACAAATAATAATGTTTGAATTCTTAAAAAATTTAAAAAAAACCTTTAACAATGTAATTCTCCATAACTTTTTTTTCTGTGCAACAATTTATTTGGACTAAATGTTAAACCATTTAATTTCTTTTTTGTATAGAGTCACTAAATATCTACTGAACGAAATCACATCTAAAAATGGAATGTTTCATATTTTTTTCTCTGTAACAATTTATTTAAACTGAATGTTAAACACTTTAAATTCTTTTTTATGTATATTCATTAAATATTTACTGAATGAAATCATATCAATTCATATCTACTGAAAAAAATCATATCTATTCATATCCACTGAACGAAATCATATATATTCATATCCACTGAACGAAATCATATATATTCATATCCACTGAACGAAATCATATATATTCATATCTACTGAACGAAATTGACACATTTAAGATTTTAAAAAAAGGATGGTAACGTTAGCCGGAGCTATGTTATATATAACAACAAGAAGATTAGAATACTTGAGAGCTTTCGTAACACTGTTATTGAATACATGGAATTATCTTAGATAAGTTAAAAATGAACTTTTGAAAACCTAGGAAAACACATTTGAAATATTCATTTTTAAATATTACAAACTTTATATTTCCATCTTTTTTAAATTATTTTTAAACAAATCGAAACTTTTAATCCATCCTGTATTACATCCAATAGCAAATTGCAAGAATTTTTGTTTATTTTTTTCAGTTACAGAAAGCAATAACAGTTGTTCTATTTCAGTAAATCTAATGAACAAAACAGATGCATTAGACGTACCTAACTACATAAAAAACTGAAGCCATCTTTACTTTCGAAGTGCTCTCATTTTTATCTGGTGCAATTCAATATCCCCATGGAATTAAAAGAAAAAAGCACTTCCGAGTCGTAACCGTGACACGTTCCGCAAAAAATAGAGACACCAAAAAGCCATCAGTGTGTGACACAGATAGTATTCTCGTAAGGTTAAGCCTTTTAAAAGGACTCCGTTGTGTAACGGATGAGCGCACTTTTTAAATCCCTCAAAGATTTACGAACTCTTTGGAAATGATAAATGCATGGGTATTCTGGACATTATTTTTATCAATAAAAATACAATACAATGTAGTAAAATATTGCTGAAATAAGGGAACTTTAAGATTTTTAAAGGAAAATGTAGAACAGGGTCACATTTTCTGGTGCTCCGCGCATCACACACAATAAAAAAAAAAAAATTAAAAAAATGGAGACAGAGATATGATCTAGATTGTATCCTTTTATCCAAGTGTACCATCTCTGTTCCACTTTCATAATGTAGTTGTCTGGATAACGCTTTCGATTATGAACTGAAGAGTGACCTGATGGCCAATTGGCTTGCGCTCCGGCCTTTGGTACCATAGACTGCAGGTACGAATCCCGGCAGTGTCATGGATGTTTGTGAGTGGCTCGGAATCCCCATTAAACTATAGGTCTCTGTCTAATTAGCCTAAAGTGTGCAAAGAATGGCAGTAGAACGACAAACCAAACTCTCTGAATTGAAAAATCTTGGTTTGAACCCTAACATATGCCATTAAGCAGGAATATTGAATCTGTAAGCCTGAAAAACCTTACAAGAGTTAGAGAAGAGGGTGAAAAACGCTACTATCTCTTAGAGAAATATGAGGGCACAAAAAATAAGTCTCTTTAAGTAAGTACCATCACGTTTAAAAATTAAAAAATTTAAATATTAAGGTACTTTTTGTATAAGTAAAGAAGTTATGTAATTGAAGAATATTATAGTATACAAAAAAAGGATAGTATTTTATTAATGTTATGGGAAGTTATTATTTTCGAATCTCTGGGTAATATGACCTGATATCATTCGACACTTGAGTAAAATATTGAGCAGTTTTAATGCTATTCAGAGTGAAAAGTAGGGGAACGCTGATAGTTACATACAACCCACTCTAAGAGGGGAATTCATCCCCTCCTCTCTACTCCAACAGCTCAAGGAAAGAGCTTTATGGCCTACAAATATATCATACCATCCGAAGTTCTCACAAATTGTCCTGATATCGCTTGGCTCTGTACCAGCATATATACACCACTTCTGTACCACTTCTATAAAGTTCAGGCGTTGTTCAAGATGCAAAATTAAGGTTGTCTGTGCTCCTGCATACCACTAAACATCTTCCAAGAATGGAATCTAATGATTCGAAGCCACCTCTTTTCTCTTGTGTTTCAAAGGACAACTTATTATTCCGACAACAATTCCAACCAACATTCCAACTTACAGATTTAACGCTCCCATTCCGCCGTATACCAGGAAGCTTTCTGTTCAGCAACGTATAATGTCGGGTTTCGAACCCGGACAGTTTGTTGTAGTTCGGATCTCTATTGCTACTCAATGAGCCGCTTAGGTCTGTGAGATGGAAATTCAGTCGGTTGCTTTATATCATCAATAATGGCATGGATGAGCTTACATGCCTATTTTACGTTTGTAACTCATGCCTTTGTACGTTTGTAATTTTCGTTCAACACTCAATTAATTAATCATGTTCGTGTGCCTGTTTTATTAACGTACATCCATATAATGAATTTTCAACTGAAGCTCAGATGCTTCGCTTCACATTTGTCATTGACACCAGTCAAACATTTTTCTTAAAATCAGCAGTTGTAGATGTTTATTCATGAATATTGCATTGTAAAATCCGAAAATGATACAGTAAAAAAAATTCAATGATGGAAACCTTTTTGCATTAATTTTGTTTAAAAAAAATTTATAATTCCTATTTGTCAATTTTTCTAAATAAATTCAGCGCATGAATATAAAATTTAGGTATTTTTACCAATAGGTCATGCTAAGAAATGCCTTTTTTTAAAAATTAAATCAATTAAAATTTAAAAATTAATTAAATTTAAAAATTAAAATAAAAAATAATAATTAAATTTAAAAATTAAAACTAAAAAAGTTAAGCCATAAAAAAATAAAAGCTTTTTAATTAAATTATATGAATCTAAAAAAATTAGAGAATATAGTGATATTTTATATTTCTAAAATTTTAACTGGATATTATATATATATGAAAAAATAATAGTTACAAATTAAATGTTCAACGATTCTTTCTATTGATTAGTTTGCTTAATATGTATATGATAAAAGTATCTCATTAATTATAAAATTAGGTACACAATTTCTTTTTTTGAAAATTACAGACTTTGTTATTTATTTTATTATTTTTTAAGAATACCCCGCTGCATTTTAAAGATCAAAACACTCAAAAAAATTTTTAAAATTTGAAATTTTTTCACAAGAGAATACTCCTTGAAAAAACTCTTAAAAATCGATATTCAAACATCTTTGCTCAAACATTTGTTTTGAACAAAAAAAAAAATATATATTTTTTCATTAAAAAAATTCTCCTAATCAAAAATAATA